TAATAGAGAATAATCACAAAGAAGAGATTGAAATGAATTTAAGAAGATTCTAAAATTTTATTAAGTATGAAAAGAAAAAGGGTGGATCTGTTAGGAATAAAATTTTAGAATAAAAAGTAAAGTTAAGTGACACCTACTCTGTAAAATTTCTACACGCAGACAGAAAGATTTCTACACAAAATTTCTACACGTAGACTGCAAGATTTCCACACAATTTCTACATGTACACGTACCTTGTAAGAGTTCTGCACGTAGGCTATAGGATTTCCACACTGAGCTATAAGATTTCATGATAAAGTACATATAAGGGAATAGATGAAGCAAAATAGTAAGGGGCATGGATAATGTATTTTGTTTAGGCGATCCTGATAAGATTGTAACCTCAGAGGAGGGGCCAAGGCGTCGGGATAGAATGTATATAATGTGTGTTTTCGCTGTGACTAGGTGTGGCTCAAATATTTATTTGGAGTCCACCACGCTTTGCAAACCGTTGTAGCCAATAAATCTCTGTCTAATTTCAACTTGCTGTTTGGTGTTATTCAGTGGGCTAGAATTTCTATCAACACAACCAACCTTAGCAAGTTCACAGTGATAAGGAGGAAAAAATATCTGCACATTTTAGTTGCTGGTTATTGGCTGCAAAGCTGTTTATGGTACAGCTCTAATCTTTATCAGGATATGTTTTTTCCAAAATAATTTTGCCATCCCAGCAGGTGAAGTGAAGAGGATCTAATCGAGATCTTGGTCCTCAAGAAATAAGGGAGAAATTAATAATGAGGCAGGTCTTATGCTACCGTACTTCTAATGCTTTGGAACACCTTATCTTCCACACCTCAGAAACATACCTGGCCTTCTCAGCATTGACATTTTGCAAAACTAAGAAAACTTTATTCAGTTAGCTTTTGAAGCTTAATGGTGTCCTAGGTGATATTCTTTCATATTCTATATGCTTTTATAAGTTTGGGAGCTGGATTTTTTGTTTTTTGTTTTTATTCAGTGAATGCTGGGTGTGATATTTTATTACAAACATGACTTCTTTTTAATTCATCAACCAGAGACAGGTGATGCAGATTGTATAAAAACACTATACACGTACACACACATACCACAATGGTAAAGGAAAATATTCAAGCTGCCAAGTGTTTCTCCAAGAATAACTAGACAGGCTTAAACCAGACTTACCGACAAGGCATACTCCTGAATATCTGAACTACAACTTTCATTGTCTTAAACCAATATGGCCAATTAAATTGAGAAAGTGGGTTGGAAGAGCAGAAGTAGGCAAAATAAAAGTTACCCTCTATTTTGTCTGCTTCTGCTCCACTATAAGCAGGCATTTTAACAGAATCAAATCTTACCAGGGGCTGTCTCAGGGTGGCTGGCTGATCACCCTGTAATGATCAACAATGTCCTGCCCCTGGTATTGCAGACTCTGGGCAAGCTAGAATTATCTATCTCTAGAGTCTCTACTCTTAAGAAGATATGCTGTGAATGTAAATATGACTTGCCTCTGTATGCTGCCAACATTGTTGCTGTCTCTCAGGTAACAGAAAACATGGTTTAATACAATTAAAATCATAGATGGATAATTAAAATAAACAAAACCTTTATTGAAATAGATCCAGAAGTTTCTTTTATCACCCTTTATCTCACCCTACTCAATAATGGAATATTTGAGACTAGCCTATATTTAAAAATAGAGCCACTTGGTCAAAAGAAGGCTTTTTCAATAGAGGTGATAAAATTGTCTCCTTTAAATAGGCAGGAGCATATCGTTGTCTCAATAGTTGCAGATCACCTCCTTTAATCATGGCAACAGTAGCTGTCAGTCTAATCAGCCAACAAAGTCAGTGTTTCAGCAAGCAAATGCTGACTTTCATCTCTCCACATACTCTACTCATGTCCTTGAGATGGACAAGCTAGAAAGAAACCATATGAAGTTATTTGGCTATTTCCTTGCGACCTGCCCCAACCCATCAATTGTTGCTTTTCGGTATTTGATATTTGACAATAGGTAAGCATGAAATATAGCTCAGTTCAGAAAACCAAATCCTCCCGCATTAATTAGTAACTGCATTTTTTTGTACAAGGTATCCTCAGAATTTAAGAATCCCATAAAATTTTTCTAAACAAAGAATTTCTTTGCTGAAAGTATTTTCCAGATCTGTTTTTTGAAAAGCAATGTTATATATTTTTATCTGTTTTTTGTCACTACTTTAAAAGCAATTAAAAAAATGAAACTAGGAAGACTTGTGTCAAAATCCCTATATATCCATGAAGCTCCATAGGTAATCTGTTAGTTCTGTATTCACAACATTACCTCTGAAATAAAGAAGAGAGGCATGAATATATTGAAAGGGAAGAATCTAAATATGAGAAGTGGAAACATTCTTTATGTCTATATCCAAGCAAGAATATCATGCTAAGTTATATAAATGAGAACAGAATCAGAAACATAATACTGTAGGACAACTGAAAAAAAAATGTATGAGCTTCATATGAGTTTTCTCCCTGATGAAAACAAAATAAAAACATAAAGATAATACTGAAACTCAGCAGCATTTCAAATTTTTAACATAGGAGAAATTTTCTTCAATCCTCAACATTCCAGAAATGTTGGGAATTCCAATGCAATTGGAGGCCATCCAGTTTGCTGGCTTTCTGTTATGAAAATGATAAATGACTAACATTCCAAGCTCAGTTCTGCTACAGTTGCACTCTTATTTTCTGAGAATTTTCTCTTTCTCTGCTGTCAGTCTTGACTAAAACAGGTTAAACAATATACCATATCAAAACTGAAAAAAGTAGTTTGTCTCACTTTATAAATAAATAACATACTTTGCAAATCTAATAGGATGAGTGGTATGTATGTATTGTATTGTTTTCTATGCTCCTGATTCTTGCTGAGGTTTGGTAAAATGGTTAAAGAATTTGAGTTTTAAGAAACTAAGTCACTTTCCACTTTCTGCTGCTTGTCCAGATGTCTGAAAACAAGATCCAGTTAATAAAAGTTAACAAACAGAAGGCCAGAAGAGCTGCATTGAACATGATCTCCTGTCCAACCCCCCAATCCTCTTCATTTCTATAGCAGTTCCTCCTGGCTTTCCTCCCTTTTCTCTAGTAGAGATGGCAAACCTTTTAGAGACCGAGTGCCCAAAAACTGGCTCCTCCTCGGCTCCACCCCCTGCCCTGCCCCGCCCCATCCCCCACCCCACCTGCCCGCAGGGCTACTCACTGCCTCCAGGGCCCAACAGATTGCCCAGGCAGCCCAGCAGCACCATGGCGGCCACGCCCTCTGCCCGCGCCCTGCAGCATCAACTGTGCAGGATGGGGCATGAGGGCAGAGTCGTCTACGCTGTCTGCCATGTCCTTGGCTGCACTGCTCCATGTGGGCGGCGCTTGGAGGTGACTCTCTTCCAGGGGGGATGCTGGTAAGGAGGGGTTGTGGGGGGAAGCGAGGCTGGGGCAATGGCACGTGTGCCCACAGAAAGGGCTCTGAGTGCCGCCTCTAGCACGCATGCCATAGGTTCACCACCACTGCTCTAGTACAAGCCAAGTGCCAGAGCATTACTGTGCTAGTCTCCCTTTAGCCCAGCCTGAGTCTCTCACAGGGTGGCTGATCTTAGCTAGTTCCTAGGCAAGCAGATCTGCAGTATTTTCAGTAAGGTCTACTCATTGTTCATACAATCCTGTAGCAAAATAAATGGTCCAGTCTGTATATTTGTCACACTTTTAATTTCGTTTAAATAAAGTTTGACAAACATGTAGACTAGGCCATTGCATAAATAACAGTATTGAGAAGAACTGTTATTCTAATGACTAACATGCAGTTTTAATAGGAGTCTGGACCTCAGTAAAGGATATTGTTGTAGATATTAGATGCAAAGTCATATTTTCCTTCTCCCATAAGTGCTTAATTTCCTGATTTAAAAAAAAATTACATAAATTGTTTTGTAGGGGGATCTTCAAGGGGGAAAGGTGATTTGTAGTACACAGGGATGCTTATTTTTGTTTTTAAGTGCTCTCAGAAAAAAAAAAATCCAAGATTGGTGATTCAGCATTTTTAAGAAATACTATGATAAGTTCATTAGTTAAAGCCAAGGAATTGTAAAAGCTTCCTATATTATTTTACACATGGAAACTCAGAAGGAAATTTCATTAATTTTGATGCAATTAACTCTAAGTTTTCAGTCTTAATCAAAGCTGAAATTGTTCACATTATGAGATGAAGTGGTCACAACAGCCATTTGTCTTGGATGCTATGGCAAGGTCACCTTATTAGGTATGTCACATGTTGTGTAGTCAGACATTTTTGGGATTTAAATACATAAAATCATAAATATATTATAATGCAATCTAGGATCCAATGACTATAATTTTGTTCACAAACAATTGCCATGTATTTTGTATTTAAACAAAAGTAATCTGTGATAACTACTCAGTATAGATACATCATGCTGCATCTGAAAGTCAGTTAGGTGCAGTGGTTGGGATGTGGGCCTAGAAACCAGAAGACCATGAGTTCTAATCCTGACTTAGGCAGGAAAACTTGGTTGGATAACTTTGGGCCAGTTACTCTCTCAGTCCAGTTTGCATCACAGTTTTGTTCTGGGAAAATAGGAGCCAGACGAATTATGTATGTTTGAATTATAAAACAAGAATTATGTATCTTTTTATATATAAGCTTAGATAATATATATACTGTAAGTTTATATACAAAAAGGGGAATATAAAACTGTAATAATAAAATAGTAATAATGTACAAATTAGATTTTTTTAAAAAAAATATAGACCTATGAATTCTTGCATCTTGTATTTTGCTACTAATTTATCTTGCCACATTACATTCCACAAGGAGAAAGGGAGAGATTAGTTTCCCTCATTTTATTTATCTTCATTCCATATACTCTCTTCTTGGAGTTCCACTTCCCATTTTTATTCCCTTGATCAGGAGCTGTGGGCCTAAATCTAATGAACTTCCAAATACACATCCAAATATGAACACTTATGGTAATATTTTTTATTTTAGCTAAATAAAAGCTAGAATAGTTAATAATTGAAGAAAAACTAGAATAATTCCTGACTCGGGGTAGGTAGCTGGTTAGTTAACTAAGACTGAATAGATGTAACTTGTTAAAAAAAGAATTTAGGACAGATGTTCAAGGAAACTGAAGACACTCAGGATTTCAGTGTTAAAGTGTTTTAGATTTAATCAGTTGAGTCTAGTCCAAAATTATATTACTAGATCAGAAAAACAATACATAAAGCTGCCTGTCTTGTATACATCTCACACTGGCATCCCAAAACCAGCACAACTTCCAATAGGTCAGAAATTATTGGAGTCCGTCTTCAAGAAATCATAATAGATCATGTTTAGATCACATATTTCATCTTGTTCTTTTTTGTACATATAAAGCCTGCTGCAACCTTATACAGAGGTGTGTGCATATATTAAATACTGGGGACAAACTAAGAAAAAGGTGCTTATATTTTCAAAAGCTTGTTAAACCATCCATAGGAAGAAGTTTATCCCAATTATGTGTCAAACTTATAAAATTAATCAACAATTTTATTACAATGATTTAAGATAAAACAATTGCAGTTTGACTGGATGAGAGCAACAGACACATTTGTAAGAATAAAATAGGATATAATGATTAAAAGGGCTTTTAAAGAGTTCTTAACTGCCTGCTCAATTATAAGCATATTAAAATCCTGTAAAATCATCTTCTAGATTTTGAAATGAATTAAACCAATGTGTAGGTATACTCAGACATATTTATGATGTGAATTCATTTTTAAAAATTCAGAAAGATTTTGAACAACAGCTCACACTACAGTTCAAAAATATTTTTAAATCCATTGATACATATTAACTAGAGTTTATTTTCAATCTGAAAGCAGAAAAAAAAAAACTTAAGGAAAAGTCCCTATGCCTGTTGAATGAACCTTTGGCGTCATGATTCAGTTTTAATATTGATACAGAAAAGTCTATTATATCTGGGACAGCAGTAACCTCCAGGTTAAGATAAGAAAAGAGAGGGGGATATCTGTTTCATACTAAAAACATTCCTGGGGAATCAAAAGAATACTAACATAGAGAATGACTTTTGCTTAATACGTAAGGGCCAAAAAGAAAAGGCTGCCCATCTTGCTAGATAATACAAACCATTTAAATAAATACTAGGGAGACATCTATTCAAGACCCAAAAAGAGACTGGAGACATAACACTTTTTAAAAGGTAGCAACTGAGAGCATTAAGATATTCTCATGTGCTTTATAATTGCCAATCTTACTTCCAACTTGAGAGGCAGTGTCCAATTGCAAATATTTCAAAAGTTGCTCCTTTGTATATATTTATATATATTGTGCTTATGAAGAGAGCCAATCTCTATAGTAATACAGCTTTAAATTCTAAAGTAATACACAAAAGAGATCAATACTGTATACTGAAATGTACATCTCTCCACTTCTTCTAGGTTTCCTCCAAATGCATTCAGGATCCTAATTAATAAAGGAAGAGAGAGACAGAAAAGGCTTTGAGATTTTGTTCACCTGAACTTTGAAGAATTTTGCTTTGTAAGTCCTCAACTTACAATCACAATTAGGACTGGAATTTCTGTTGTAAGTTGGTACAGTCATAAAATGAATCATGTGACTGGACCTGATTTTACAATCATTTTTATCGTGGTCATTAAATGAAACATGTGGTCATTAAATGAATCACAGTTAACCTGCTTCCCAATTGCTTGTTGAAAGATCACAAATCACACTCTTGTCATATTTCTAAAGCTGTCATAACTCTGAACCACTTTTAAATGAATGGATGTAAATATAGGGCTACCTATATCAATTGTTGACATAATCTGTTGTGTGAACTTTATGCAGCAAGATAAACAGATAAATCAAGGGAAGGAATGCTACAGTCTTTCCTCTAGTAAACATAAGCACATTTATCTTCCAAGATTAGATGATATGGGCACGTTCCAGATACTATAGACCTAGACTACAAGAGCATGTTTATAAATGGAGAAGTAGCTTTGCACTTTTTCTTGCAATATATCTGGATAAAAATTGTCCCCAATGACTGCACAACAAGAAATGAGACACCTCTTGAAAATGTACCTTCAGCTTCCTTTTTTCTGTCCCACAAAAGATAAATCTAAATATACATGAGCCCTTCTATTAGTCTTACCTATACAGGTTTGGGCAAAAACAGTGCAAAGCTTCCAAATAGAAATACCAATAATGCTGACCTCTGACATAATTTAATGAATATTCAAACTGGATTCAAATACCCCACAATTTGGGGTCATTGCCAGTGAGATGAAAGAATGCTCATTTTCTCAGGCAATCTGGTTGCAAACCTGGGCCCAATTTGTGGCCATTCCAAGCCACACAGGAATGGGAGTCCTTGTAGTCCTTATTGCCTTAATTGAGGATATTTCCCAGGATTCTCTTGCCTGAGGAATGCACAGCGCTGAATGGCTCAAAACCTTTTCCTATTACATAGGTACAAATTATACCAATTAAACATATGAGTAAATAAGTCTCTGAATATAAAATAGGGACAAAAGCTTCAAAGGTTCAAGAAGTTGGGAATAAAGAGAGCTAATAAATTTCACTCTTCATTCTTCAGCTCACTTAGCTCTGTTCTCAGAGAGGTGATGCTTAAAAAAAAAAAAGAAGCATGTTCATGGCAAAAAACAGGGTTATAAATATAAAAAGGAATCCATTGTCAAGCACCAGTAACATCACCAGCTTTCTGCAGGCAGGATGAGCTCGGAATTTCCCCCAGAAATAGATATTTAATCCAGGAAAAATGGGGAACGTCATTTTTAGCACTACGGCTATCTGGGCTATTCCTTGGGGGGTAATGGAAAGTTATCCTTCTGTCAAAGAACAGTTTGTATTGAATGAAGAAACTCACAGCTAACGGGGATGTCATCAAGCTGGTATGAGCCAAATGCTTCATGAACTCAAAGGTGTGCTCCCAAATGATAGCCTTGGAGTTTGCCAGTAAAGTGAAATCCATATGTTCAAGGTGCTACAGAGTCAGATAAGCTTATCTCATTTCTTCTTCTTCTTTTTTAAGTGGGATATGAAGACTGTCTGTTTGGCTTCTGCTATGCTGGGATGCTAGAATCCATTTTGGGTGATCACTGCAATCCTGCTGCAAGCTACTACTCCATAATGGCCCGGTACAGTGCAGGCTCGATGTAATCCTCACGATAGCGTGAGTTGATCACCCTCTGTCTTTTTCTCTCTTGTTTGACTTCTTTCTCCGTGAAGATCTCTGTGAAGCGCATGTCAGAGGCAACAGACTGCAAATCAAGTAAGCACAAGAAATGTTAAAAGGACAGTGGCGAAAACTGGACTATAGGATATAAATGATAATGATTCTACACAATTTTCCTCATGCATAATTAAAATCATATTATTTCACTGGAAAACAACAGAGGGTAGATTTTGGGACTGTAATTATCCAGTTTAAAGTCGAGTACTTAATATAGATGCACCTCAAGTCTTGAGGCTCCAAGTGGCTGTTTACCATTAATCTGCAAATTTGCAGAGTTCAATAATGGGCTCAACAAACAATATTCTGAAAATCTATTTTTCCTTTCCTTTGAAATGACTTTTGGAACCTTCAATTTAATAATTTTATTATATCTTTGACGTATCTGGAAGTGTCCCAGTGACAGAAGAAATGTCTAGTACTCAAAAGATCAGTTTCCTATGTGGGAACTGATGCTCTCTTGCGTGAGAAGAATTTCATGAATCAAAATCTATTCTTGTTTGGCTTACCAGCCTTGACTTGACTCTTTTAGGAAGTTCTTCATCAAGTGTATACACATCATCCCTTTTTGCCATCAGCTGGGATCCATCTTCAAACTCCACCTAGAATAAGATCAATTGGGTGGCTGTCAGATGAATATAAGCATCAATTACTATTTCTCTGTCATGCAATTCAATACAGAATGTTTTTATGGAGCAAGAGCCCAGCCAACTGACATTCAATTTCATGTACTCTACATCATGAAGGAGGTTGGCAGATCAGCTGCTAATAACAGAAGAGAATATCTAGAAACTAGCTTATATAGCCACAACTATAATGCATGAGAATTAACACCACTTTACACAAATATTGATATATCAATCAATGTATCTTTTGGAACAGTCTAATTATATGTTATCTTGCTCATGGCAGGCCAGAATACAACCTTCAGGGATTTCAGAACTCCCAATCTACAAAGAGTTAAAAAGAGAGAAAATGAGAAGATCGATCCCAGTCCTCTTTACTTACCTGGTACATCTGGATGACATGAGAAGCCACAAATGTAGCTCCATAGACCTGTCCATCTGTCCATCTCACTTGAACAACTTCTCCTGGAGGTGGAGGACCAAGCTGGAGGCAATCTCGACTCTGTCCATGTTGGGAAAAGTTTGAGAAATATAATCATCTACTGAATAGCAAACAGAAGAAACATTGCCTAAAATAATGGACCCTGGAGAAGCTTGACGACTGAGCCGATACATGGCAATGAGGAGACCAGAAAAGTGTCTGATTTTTACTAAGTACAATTCTGTTAACATCAGAGGAGGTAGTTGCAATGAGCTTAATCTTATAATCAGAATATTCCTGCCCTGAACAGATTACAAGATATACAAAACTATCCTTGTTCTGCAACTACTCATTTATTATATAGATATTTGCATGAACATAAAACAAGTAAAGATCTGACAACAGAATAGAATCTTCATCTGGAATTTTTTTTTTCTCTAACGAAAGAGTCTAAAAGGTACTGAAGAGAGGGAAGGAGAAAGGGAAGAGATTTCTAATTTAGGAATCAAATAATCTATGCTATATTTAGCTTTGCATTATGCAGCTCAAAAGTATTGTCAGGATGCTTTAGAGATTTGACCCACTTCAGCAATCGGGGACTTTTTGTTTCCTAGAACGGTATATTTTCTGGTGCAATAATTTTTTTACTGCAAAGCATACCACAATATCTTCTGGATATAGGTTATCACTGAAGGAGCCATCATCAAAGTTGACCTCATAAAATGTTTCTTTCGTCAGATTGATCACTTCACATTGATAGAAACGTCCGTTCTTGTGCTTGCTTATCACAGGCTGCCCCACAGCAAGATCCTGTAGACCGGCCTTAGCACGCTGAAGGAACAAAGGAGCTATAATCAATATTATATTCAGAAGATAAAACTTGATGGTTTAACCACATGGAATACTTTGAAGGTTGTGGAAATGCAAATGCTTCCTATGCATTATCTGGAAAGCACGGAAAGATTATTTTTACATCTCTTTTGCAAAGCTTTTAAAGATTTTTATTATGTCTTTATATTTTTACCGCTAATGCAAGCTATATACCATCAACTTTTAATGAAGGTTTAAATAGAAGGTTCAGTAATATTGACAATAGCAACAAGACTAGCAGTTGCTTTGAGCAGAAAAACATTTTAATATAAGGTACAAAGCAAGCATTTCCATAATATAGTGTGCATGTGTGGCCTCCTGAACACTTTTACTACTGTCTTTCCATTGCCTTACTAATGATTAAGTAATGTCTCATGTACAAATGTTAAGCTGAACCGAATATTAAGTCCCTATTTACTTACTTCTGCTTGAGACGGAATTTTATGTCGAAAACAGGTAATGAAGACTACAAACGGCCAGTCATCTGGCTGCATCATGACTCCAGCTGCCTGGGCGCAGCTGACATGGAAAGATGTAGGACAGCGACCATGAGAGCACTGCATGCAACAACCAGCGATTCTCTTCCGCCTCTTCTTACAGAAGACACATTTCTATGAAGAGACAAGTTTAGCACTTCAATCAAGATGAAGTTCCAAAGGTATCAGATGCTTAGACACCAAAAGACACACATGGGCCTGTCAAATTCAGATGCAGATTGGTTATCAGATACTGAAATCACGAACTACGTCGTGAGTTTTTATTTTCAGGAATTCTTGACAAAACCTGCATTCCATGTATATTTCAATAGTACTCACAATCTGTTTCAATGGTCAGGCATTTTCTTTAAAATTAATACTACTACTGTACAATCTTATGAAGAAGAAAAAATGCATGCTAATTAGTTACTACACAATTACACAATACGTAATTATATTTCCCTGTAGATTCTTGTAGGAATTGTACTAAAATATATGACTATATATGGGAAGCCTCTGTATGCTTCCTTTTGTTCATAGTATATTACAGCACATACATTGGGTAAAATCAAGGCCCTGGATGTTTTTGTAATTTCCTTTTCCTTTACGTAACGGGAGAGGCTTTATCCTATCCTGTGTTATTTAACATCTATATGAAACTGTTGGAAGAAGCTATTCAAAAAGTTATATAGAGTGAAGTCTCACTCTATGACTATTTTTCCCATGCATAAGAAAATCATGCAATGGGATAACACGGGCCTTCTGTACTGAATTATTGTACAGACAGGCCATGTGCTCTACGCTATTAATGTACAGGTACTCAAATCTACAAGTAATTGGTAAGTTATGCTCCTTATTATACTGCATACAATGACTTTTCTGAATCTGTTGCTTTCCAGATATGCTGGGCTCCAACTTCCATAATTTTGGGCATCATGACCTTTGCCCCCAGTCTTAAAATAATAGTGTTGCCCAATACTTTTGAATGGGAATAAGTGGGTAAAAGCTATATACAATCATCCAAAATTCCACCACTTGCATTATCACAAATTATCTAATCTGAAAAGATTTTTCCTATGTTCTCTGGGTTCTGATTTAAGAATCTCATAAAAGCATAGAATAGACATCAATTCAAAGTACTGTTTATTTTCTTACCAGTCGGAAGCGTTGCAGTGGAATTTTGCTGACATCAACTGGACTACGCTGGGCAATGTTTATAAATTTGGCCTCCAGAACTGCCACAGCACACATAACATGTACCCACCTGAGAAAAATCAGAAGTCTACTTAAGTATTTAGTAAATGTTTGTTAAAAATTGGTTGCAGGATATGGATAACCAAAACTGATATTGGTAAAACAGCTCAAAAACAATATGATCTCCCCAACTCTCAATACAGCTGCATAAAGCATTTGAAAAAAGTGCTTTGCAAAACCATTCAGCACAAAAACAGCCACATACTGTGGAAGGCTAATAGGCTATCAGCAATGTGGCTATTTATGCATACAGTCTTTGCAGCAGTTTATGAAGACTACATAGAACGTGGTTGCTTTAAGTATCTGAGGAGGGGATTTTTGCTTGCAACAGTAGGCTTTGCAAAACATCTCAGGGAACATCACTAAATTTTTGCTTAGTATGAGTTGATGTCTATTAGTCCAGGGGTCTTCCATACTTAATTATCACAAAAACTCACTTGTTATCATTGGCTTTTTGAAGTGCACCTCCACGAAGTGAGCATAAGCAGCAATCCTGATAGACAAAAGAAAATCACATTTACTTATTTGTACGTTATTTGTATCCTGCTTTTATTATTTTTACATATTTTTACTCAAGGCAGCAGACATATCCAACACACCTTCCTCCTCTTATTTTCCCCACAAGAACTACTCTGTGAGGTGAGTTGGGCTGAGAGAAAGTGACTGCCCCAAAGTGACCTAGATGGCTTTCATAGCTAAGGTAGGACTAGAACTCATGGACTCCGGCTTTCTAGCCTGGTGTCTTAATCACTAGACCAAGGTAGCTTTCATGTTATTGAAATCACACCAATTAATACTGTACTATTATAGCACTACATTTTATACTATTTTTCTGAAATACATAAATATTCTGCAATGAGAACTATACAAGTTAAATAATTATTCTATGCATTAATTGTTTTTGTCTTACAGAAGATCTCATAGAAGAAACTAAGCTAGTTCTATAGGAAATGAAAGGCTAGTGCTAGGTAGAATGCATTTTATTAAATCCTGTTAGGGACGCACAAAGCAGAAAACTATCCAGACCTATGCGGAAGTGATGTAGGACATATCTTACTTAGATAATTGTTCAAAAGCCTATTCTATCCTATCTAGCAAGGTAATACTTCACCAATCATGCATGACAGCAGAGTTGCACATCAACGTCTGCACCAAATGAGCCAAATATACCTGCAAAACATCATCTCCTAGTAGTATTCCATTCCCTAAAGTGTCTAAAACAATGATAAACATTTTTTAAAAAATAAAAAGTAATCTCATTATCTGCGTAAATGTTTGACTCAGAAGAAATTCAAGGAAGCTACCTCCAGTAGGGATTGCTAATTAAGCCAGCTTGAAGAGGAGGTTTTGGTATCTCAGGATAGATTCTGGAATACTGATGAATACATTTAATAATGGATGATATTGAATCAACCACACTATTCATTTAAAATATTCTATGAAGTAAAGTCCTATCAGAAGCTAGATCTTCTTTCTATTTTAATGAAATTCTTTCATACAAATAAATCTATTTCAATAACAATCTCACAACTGCAAAGTTTCTAATGCTGGTCATGCATGAAAACAAAAGAATTTTAGTAGATACTGACATACCTCTTCTAAAGCATTTGCTTTGCATCTAGAGCATTTCCAATCTTCAGTTGCCTTCTCTGGGGCTACTCCATAACAACCTATAATAAAAATAAAAATAGAAGGTTTGTAGGCTAAGCAATAAAAATCAGCAATGTTTCAATTTTCATATCCCTTTTTATTTTAACAAATATTAATAATGAATTTATATCCACAAAATAAGTTTGATCAGTCTTGGAAGACCCAAAGAAACAATGGTACAGAATATGACCTTAAGCATTATATCATCCACTTGAAACATACTAACAAAAAAGCAATACTGATTTATCCATAACCTGATCTCTCATTTAAAAAATAAATGTTAAACCTCAAGCCATAAAAATGATCACGATGGGTCAAATCTATCTCTGGGCCCTGTCAATTCAATGAATTTTACAAGAGAAAAAAATAATTGTTATTATAAATTAAGTCAACATTAACTATTACAGTGTTTTGGGTCTTTGAATTTCTTTTACTGCTTTAAAGTATTAGTGATATCCAAAGCATTAGGAAAGGAACTCATCCAAGCTGCTTAGTAACTGGCATTCCAATGAGATTTTCCCCTCTGTTTACTTATATTGTGGGCTAGTTTTCCAGTGACAGCATCTTAATCTTCACATAGCATGAAAAATACAGTGGTACCTTGGTACTCAACTGTGTTGAAAGTCATCAAATTTGGTAACACATTTTGACACAAATTTTTTGTCCCAGTACTCATCATTTGTTTGGCACTCAACACACAAGCTAGAACTTGTCGTTGTCAGTTGCCTTGTGACTTACTACATTATTCCTTTTGGGGAAAATTTGTCTGGTACTCATCAGTTTTGCTACTCACTGCGCCTCCCGGAACCAATTAATGTTGAGTACTGAGGTACCACCGTATCTGGAAGGACATATTTTGTGTTCATTGCACTTTAATTGTAGTTTTCACCCATGGTATTTTCAGATCATTTTGTTCATATGAATCGGGTGGACATTAAAGTGCAATTCCTCAACTTTTTTCTGTATTCTTCCTTACAGGTAAAAATAACCAGGCATAAGCTGCCCATACTTACATTGCTTCTTTATAAATTATGGGAAAATGGAAGGGTAAATAGTAATATTTTATTTGGGGAGTCAATGGACAATCAGACCTAAATTATACAGTACTCACTGGCATGGACCCGGACCTGACAGTGATTGCATGTGATCAGAATACTGGTCCCATCTTCCTCCAGATATGGGGTAGAGAGATTGACATCTGTGCTACAGCCAGTGGTAGTAAAACACATCTCAGGGATGAGGGGCTTAGTTCTCATCTTTCCATTAGCAGCATTTGGAACTGCTTGTAAGCTCTGACTTCCACAATCTGCCTGCCAATGAGAAATTACACATTTTAGAAAAGAACAGCAATGCAGAAATAAAAAGAAATATATGATCAGGAAAGCATTCCATTTTTGTTTGCATACTGAAAGAATTTAAATAAATATTATTTCACTATGTTATGCTTAAGGTAGAATGATTCCAAATTAAGTTTGATATTTTTCCTTCCAAAGAGATAAATATTTCTGCCAAACAAATAATCAATAGGTCATTTTTTTTCATGTCAGAATAAGGAAAAAAATTACGTCTGACAAAATTGATATAAAATAATCCAAATCTTCAAAGATAAATTACATACTATGTTCATCTCAAGCACAATTCTGCAAATATGATTCCAGCCCTAAGATTTTATTTTTTTAATTATTAAATATGTTATTCCCAGTATAACAGTTCATCAAAAATAGTCTGGATTTGTTTCAAGACTTCCTTGTTCTATTGAAGTAAGAACTAAAAAATAAATTATAAATTCTCTGTTTTAAACAAGCAGTTAAAATACCACTAAACAGTTTCTGTGTTGCGCTATTTAGTGAGGGAAAAATGGATCAGTAAACAGAATACATTTGTTTATAGAAAATATATTTGAGTTAGTTAAGTATAGAGATAAATTTTGAAAAACTATTAACACCTTAACCACCATGGACCATTCCCATCTGAGATGAATATGACAACTACTATACCACACAGCATCCATTATTACCAGACAGTTTCCCATCCATGTATTAGCCATGCTTAATCTTGTTTAGCTTCCGTAATCAGGTACTAGAATATGTATATGATTTATTTTTAAGAAACCATGCACTTGTTAGAGTAACATGACAGATGCTGTAGAAAATCAGTCCCACTTACTATGGAAACATAATCAGTCTGAAAACACTTACACAAACCACATTCTATCAGTGCTTCTGTACTCTATAGGCCAGGAGAAAGAATCATCTACTTACCTGGTAGGTTTGGAATAGCATGCACACTGCACAATAGGGGGCCTGCTGAGCCATGGCAATATTATACTCTTTTTCCGCTTCAAAGTTTGGAGGACGATTCTGCCACAGTTGGGTGAGAGGCTTGGCCCATGCTTCCATCTCTTCAGTTTCTTCTTCAGGTGTTAACTGCTCTGACATTTCTGCAGTAAGAATCATAGCGTCAATCAAAATTTAGATAAATCATTTCCTCTTTTCTCCAGGCTGTCAAAAGAACAACAGATTTAAACTATGGGAAATATAATAATGTTCCTCACTTTTCAGCCATGCCTGCCAATGTTCAACTCCACACATGGCTGCTAAGACCATGTAGTGAGGGAAAAAAAATTATCTGATCCCCTGCTGATTTTGTACGTTTACCCACTGACAAAAGAAATGATCAGTCTATAATTGTAATGGTAGGTTTATTTTAACAGTGAGAGGCAGAATAATAATAAAAAAGTTCAGAAAAATGCATTTCAAAAAAGTTATACAGATTTGCATTTTAATGAGTGAAGTGTCCCACTCCTTTTTGCAGATCCTCTCTAAGTCATTAAGGTTTCGAGGCTAACGTCTGGCAACTCAAACCTTCAGCTTCCTTCACAGATTTTCTACGGGATTAAAGTCTGGAGACTGGCTAGGCCACTCCAGGACCTTAACGTGCTTCTTCTTGAGCCACTCCTTTGTTGCCTTGGCCCTATGTTTTGGGTCACTGCCATGCTGGAATACCCATCCACGACCCATTTTCAATGCCCTGCCCTGGCTGAGGGAAGGAGGTTCTCACCCAAGATTTGACGGTGCATGTTCCTGGCCATCATCCCTTTGATGTGGTGAAGTTGTACTGTGGGGATGGTATTCTTGGAGTCACAGGCAGCATTCCTCCTTCTCCAAACATGGCGAGTTGATTTGATGCCAAAGAGCTTGATTTTGGTCTCATCTGACCACAACATTTTCATCTAGTTCTCCTCTGAATAATTCAGATGTTCACTGGCAAACTTCAGATGGGCCTATACATGTGCTTTCTTGAGCAGGGGGACCTTGCCAGTGCTGCAGGATTTCAGTCCTTCACGGCATAGTGTGTTACCATTCTTGGTGACTATGGTCCAGCTGACTTGAGATCATTGACAAGATCCCTCTGTGTAATTCTGGGTTGATTCCTCACTGTTCTCATGATCACTGAAACTCCACAAGGTGAGATCTTGCATGGAGACCCAGACTGAGGGAGACTGATAGTTATTTTGTGTTTCTTCCATTTGCGTATAATCGCACCAACTATTGTCACCTTCTCACCAAGCTGCTTGGCGATAGTCTTTTAGCCCATTCCAGCCTTGTGTAGGTCTACAATCTTGTCCCTGACATCCTTGGACTGCTCTTTGCTCTTGGCCATGGTGGAGTGTTTGGAATCTGATTGCTTCTATGGACAGGTGTCTTTTATACAGGTAACACGCGGAGATTAGCAGCACTCCCTTTAAGGAGAGTGCTCCTAATCTCAGCCCGTTACCTGTATAAAAGACACCTGGGAGCCAGAAATCTTGTTGATCGTTAGGGGATCAAATTTCACTCATTAAAATGCAAATCAATTTATAACTTTTTTGAAATGCATTTTTCTGGATTTTTGTTGCTGTTATTCTGTCTTTCACTGTTAAAATAAACCTACCATTAAAATTAAAATCATTTCTTTGTCAGTGGGCAAATGTACAAAGTCAGCAGGGGATCAAATAATTTTTCCCTCACTGTATAATTTGTGAAACCATTAATTTGGAAATAATATACAACCTCACAATTATAAAACCATGTTTTAAATATGTGCTCTCTTTCTTTTGCCTCAGAGATCAAAGTGCTGTATTTGATCCTAACTTGATAGCTGAAAATTCAGCATCAAAGTATATCGAGTTCATACAGCCAAGTATACAACCTTCAAAAATTGTAAATCAGACTGTGATTAATGTATTTAGGTATATCTTGTACAAAATGCAAGAGATTGCTTTAAAAATGCAAAGGATGAATTGAGACATTAAAAAATGCTTATTGCTACAGGTTGTCCTTGACTTACAATCATTCATTTAGTAACCTTTCACAGCTACAATGGCACTATTGCAGCATCCCTGTAGTCACATGATAAAAATTCAAACGCTTGGCAATTGGCATGTATCTATGATGGCTGCAGTATTCCATCACCTTTTGCAAACTTCTGACAAGTAAAGTCAATGGGGAAGCCAGATTCACTTAACAACCGTGTTACTACCTTAACAACTGCAGTGATTTACTTAACAGCTATGGTAAGAAAGTTCATAAAATGGGGCAAAACTCACAACTGTCTTGCTTAGCAACAGAAATCTTCAGCTCGATTGTAGTTGTAACTCAAGGACTAGCTGTAATTCAGCATCACTATCACCTCTATTACAAAAAAGGAAGAAATTTAGAACTTACCATCATCACTAAGGCTATCTTTAACCAACAATGGGTGATGACGTGGCAGTTTGGTCAAGGGCTGGCGACGTCCTTTTGACTTCTTATGATCCTTTACAGATCTGATGTACTCCTTTGCCATCTGCAGAAATCAGACAGGATCAGAGAGACAGCTTGGTCTAGTGGTTAAGACAACAGGCTAGAAAGCAGGAGACCATCAGTTCAAGCTCCATCTTAACCATAAAAGACAGCTAGATGACTTTGGGCTAGTCAATCTCTCTCAGCCCAACCCACCTCACAGGATTGTTGTTGTATGGCAAATAGGAAGAGGATGGCATGCTAGATATGTCCCCGCCTTGAGTTATTTGTAAAAATAATAAAAGTGGGATACAAATAAATATATAAATAAAATCAGTATCCACAACCTTATAGCAGTATAGTAGTAATCAGTAGTAGCAGATTTTGCAAGAACTTAAATCTATAACAAGCTACTTTTTCAACAAAGTATCTACTGGATGGATTCAAAAACTGAAAAATTACTTATACTTTCTGCACTGTTTAAGCTCCAAGGTATGCAAGATGTGTATTATGGATAAAATAGTATATTTCAGAATGCAGTACTACATTGACAATGGATTTATTTGATATCTAATGCGGCAAATAGAGTCCTAGAGATATTCTTTGCAAACTGCACACCAGCTGATAATGTCAGAAAATGAAAATTAAATCGAAGTTAAGATTAGAAATTACAATATTCTACGATAAGTGTGTATTAAGAATTCATCCTATATATCGCTTTACCATTAAAATGTGTCTGAAGCATGTTATACAAGATAGATTATAGGTATACCCTCTGATGGAATCTTACTTTTGCAAGCTCCTGTTCATCCACACGAGCTGTGGAACTGGTTTTCTTCCGGGAAGGCTGTTCTATCTCCATGACATTCACCTCTTCCTTAGCATAACTATGAACTGTGAGAACTTCAGTTTGGTCAACCAACTGCCTGGAAAGATCAGGGGGTTCAGAATCTGAAGAGCCAGAACAAAAAGAAGAGCTAGACTGAAGGCTGGACACTGGGCTTGGTTTTATAATAGATTGGGTCAAAACTGAAGACACAGAATGTGAAATGGAAAGATCTAAAACAGCTGCTTCTGGTTCCTCTTCTTCCTCCTCCTCCTCCTCCTCCTCATCATCATCTAGTTTAACATTTTTCAGTTCTTCAAATTTTACTTCAGAGGAATCTGCATATTCTGCATCAAAAACAATGTTTGAAATATTATTTAGTAACTGCCACCAAATAAAATGCTCTAATCTATTAAAGCCTAAAAATTAATCTGAAACTAGGGCTTCAAGATGTGAACTATTAAATGGCCCAGTCTAGCTAGAAGTTTAATATATATATTTTTAGAAAAATACTCCTATAATTTGAATTTCCTCTAGAACTTCCTTAACGCATAACACAATATCATACCTTTAATTTCTCACTAACCAGGCATTTAGTCAATTTTTAGAATTTTTGTTATCAATTTATTTGCCCTAACTCTGCTCTTTGGTACTGTATTCTTTTTCTGAGACATATTTCCAAATCTTTTCAAGTTTAAGAGAACAATATAAATTAAACATAGTCTAATGATTTCATATTTTATGTCATAATTGAAAGTCTTATGAACAATATTTAGATAAATGTGTCCAATCCTGGAGGCTACTTTTCAATTTTTGAATTTCTTCTATGTTTTACTGACACGATTCTATTAGTTCCTTATATTATTTTGCTAAAGTAAAAGAACATAACTTTAAAAAATTCATCTGAGATCTCTGCAGATGGCCCCAGTTTCTTCAACATACCCTTCATATTCCTAATGAGGCATTACCATCAGTTTTCAACTTGAAGTTTTGCTCTCAATGTTTTTATGTCTGTTGAAAGCAGAAGTTGGGTTCATGCATCACACTAAACCTTATTTAGATTGGCTACATTCAGACAACAAATCAGGCCAAAACTAAACAAATTTCATTATGACTAGGCCAAGGGTAGGCAACCTTGGCTCTTTTATGACTCGTGGACTTCAACTCCCAGAATTCCTGAGCCAGCAGAATTCTGGGAGTTGAAGTCCACGAGTCATAAAAGAGCCAAGGTTGCCTACCCCTGGGCTAGGCCATAGTAAAGTTCCAATGAGATTGGCCACCATGAACAGTAGCATCCAAGAAGTTACCTGGAGGTGCAAGCCCTTCATCCCCTTGCTGTACAGGTTCTCTAGCAGGTCCAACTGGAGGGGCTGCTTCCTCCATCTCAAACTGCACTGGGAGCATTTCCTCCTTGGGAAAGGACTCGCTTTGGCTCACCTCATGAGGAACTTCTAAGCAGACTCGGTGCCGCTTGCTTCCAATGCGATGCTTTGGGACACTGCAAGAAGAAATAAACATGTCGTCTTTTAAATCAAGCATGTCCAACCTGTAGCCTATGGGCTGCATGCAATCCTAGACAGCTGGTAACCAGCCCTACAAGATTGTAAACTTCAAACATTATATGATTTATTTACACATTTATATACATTAATCCTATTATATATTTTATATGCGTCTAAAGATAATTCCTTAGTTCAATGCACCCCAGGCAAGTTGCCCATCTTTTATACAGAACTCAACACAACTTTAATATCAGATTGCTTTCTCTGAAAAATCAGTTGATTTTATAACTTTTCTGAAGTACCTGAGAAAGCACAGCTTTCCACTAGGAAGAAAAAATTTACCACTAGGAAGAAAAAATATAAAATTCTTAGAAAAAATATTTCACGTTAGTTTATCAAATGATAGAATACACAAGCTTTCAATTCACATTAATACTTGAAACTAGTTTCTTCTCAGTTGTAAGAAATCCCATTTAACCCAAGGATTCAAGTAAAACACACTTACTATGAGATAACAGATATTTCAAATTCAAAGTATCTGTCATTAATATAAATTTACAACAGGTCAGAAGACAGTTAAAGAGAACCTAGGAAGATATTTTATCTAACTTATGGCAAGTCAGAAATTCCTTTGAAATGCTTTCTTCAATTCTTTGGTCAACAGTCTGGTTCCAACCATTAATTTCTGTTCATATTTCACAGCCTACAGAGAACTAAAAATCACACACCCATTTTCTAAAACTTACTGAATTTGGTTATTAAACAAGGCAAGGAGAAAGGGAGAAGAAACAGCTCCCAATGTCATTGGTAGCCACTTAACATGGAAAATAGAAGCAGCTAGATAGATGCAACTGATTAGTGAGTAACACTGGCTAAGTCATGATGTACGAAAAAAAGAAGAAGCAAGCATACGTTTTTTTCTCCATATCCTCATCTGCTTTGCATTCTTCCTCTGTTTCAGTTTCTTCAGGGCACTGCTTCTCATTCTTAACTTTTTGAAGGGATTCGCCCTTAAAGAACTCAGTTGCTTCTGGTGTGGGAAGAGTATGATCAATGACTGTCACATCTTTCCCAGCTTTCCAGAGCTTGTAACGATCAGGCTGATATTTCCTCACAAAGACATCCATGGAGATTTTGACCATGTCCTTTCGGCATGAGCACTGCATGGAATAACAAAACAGCTGAGGCCACTTATGTTTTCGTTTCAATTCAGTATTAACTTCATTCTGCAACTATGCCTCCTCATAAGAGAATTATACCATTTCCTAGTAAGAATGAATGGTGACCTCAAAGATTGGAGGCTAAAAGTAATTACCTGGAAAAAGGGAGAGGAGAACAAAATAACAGGTATTTAATATTTATTTGATATCACTATATATATCTGTTGTGAGCTTTCTTTCTGACAAAGCATTTGTTGTTGTACTGAGTACTTTGAAATATTAATAAATAAATAAAACAACAGTGCACAGAATGGCCTCTAGAAAGCTGAGGCTGCAGCTATATATCTGAAGCAGACATGAACCTGATGAGTTAACAGAACAAACATTAATCATTAAAAATAGGATATAGGAAAGCTAACATATCTGAAAAATATGAGAACTAAACAAGTATTATTATCTTATTTCCATTTCACAAGCTTTATTGTTTATATATCTAATGAAAAAAGTATCTTGAGAATTGTGCAAACAGGCATATCTTATTCTTAACTAAATATTTATACCTGGCACCATGACATTTATATCAAAAACAGTAGTCCTATGTAACTAATTAGAGTGTTCTACATTTCTCCATCTGAAATCTTTTTTTCTTAAACTGTCTTAGAGGCTTTATTTTTATGAATTAATACATTTTTATAGATGTCCAAAGTTCAAATGGTCAGACCTACTTCATAGCGCATGTTTAGCAGCAAAAAATTGTTAATAAGATGCATTCCATCAACCACAAAATATTAAATTGATATAATTCTGTTTGATAAACATTTAGGAATAAGTAACAATTCTTACCAAAACAGACTGCTTTCCATACTCAATCCAACGAAGTGTGGCAAAATTAGTAGATTCAGCACAATTGAAGCCATGATTAAAACCAGCATGATATCCATAAGGAAAAGTTATCATGAATTCACCTGCTTCCTGAGTCACCTGAAAGAGAAGCAATCAGTATGGATTTCTATAGTTTATATAATCTCTAAAATTCATTTGATAATTTTCAGTACTACTAAGCTGGAAAGAACCCATATTTCTAGCTTTTTCTAAGAATATACCCTAGCAAAGTAAAAAATTGTATCCTTGGAATTTATGGATTATGTGAATTTATTCACATTTATGGATTATGTGAATTTATTCACATAAATTATGTGAAAAAAGTATATAGAGAGAATATTCTCAGTGTGAAGAAGAAATGACATGATTCCTGTTTTTTAAAAAATTCTATTTCTCTGTCCCCACATGCTCAGTTCTGATTGGCTTTTTCAGAGTGGTCCCCACACTTAAGATTCTTTTTCTAAACATGTTTTGATCACCTGTAAAAATAGGAGGGGTTCTCCTAAGTCTCCTGATTACCTCCCTACTGTGTGCAACTACTGCAAACTTAGAGAGGTGAAAAGAAATTATAGGATGTTTTCTCATCTGGCCTTTTTATTTTCAGTTCCTATAATCTTATAAGACTCTTTGCCTTCCATTCACGGTTTCATTAGACAAATAGTGGAGAGGTGGAAGATAGATCGTAATGTGGGTTTGCTCAGAGAAGATGAGAATTTATTAAAACAAATAAAAGATCAAAGACGAACTCATATTAAGAGACTTTATGGGGTGTTAGTAGAATTGGATTCAGAAGCAGAATTAGTTAAAGAATGTATGGTTAAATGGGCACAAAATTTTGATGAACCGGTTCCATTAGATACCTGGGAAATTATTTGGGTGAGGAATGTTAAATTTACGCAAGCCCAAAATTTAAGGGAAAATTTTTATAAAATGTTTTATAGATGGCACCTTGTCCACAAAAAATGTCTCGTATGTATCCTGACCTGCAGCCTAAATGTTGGAGATGTGGATGTTTGGATGCTACCTATTATCACATCTGGTGGTCATGTAAAAATATAAAAGCTTTTTGGATTAAGATATGGTGGAATATCCAAAGAATTTTTAGAAGAAGGGTAAAATTTACCCCACAATTGTTTTTGTTAGGTATTGTTTCTGATTGTGATAGTAAAGAGACTATATTGATGTTAAATTTAATTAGAGCGGCAAGGTTGTTAGTAGGGCAATGTTGGAAGAAGGAATCTTTGCCTACTTTGCAAGAGTGGTTTCTTAAAGTTTCCTACTTGGCGGAAATGGCAAAGATTTCAGCTTTCTTGAAAGATCAATCGCAAGAGAAGTATTTTTTGGTATGGAAAAAATGGATAGATTTTATACAATATAAGTTGGATATAAAAAATATTATTTAGTTTTTCAATAATTTACATTTAAAACTTAAGATATTTTATAGATTTTTTCCTTTTTTATTTTTTTTTAATTTTTCTTGTTTTTTTTATTTGATTTTTCTTTTTTTTCTGTTTCTTTTTTCCTTCCTTCTTGTATTTTCTTTTTATATATTACTGTTAACTATTTTATAACTTGTTTAATTAATGTATTTAGATTTGCTTATGGTTTATATGTGTTCCAAGATTTTTTGAAAAAATTTGAACTAAGCCTGTATTTAGCTCTGGGAAGGTCGGGGGAGGGTATGGGAGGGTTGGGGGGGGGGGTTGGGGAAGGGAATTGTTTTGTAAAACTTAAAAATTTTTAATAAAAAAAAAGACTCTCTGCCTTCCTAGATTTCTGTAAAATGCCATCAGTTTTTTCTTACTTTGTCAAATGGGATGCCATATTTCTTCAATATTGATGGTGAGATCAAGGTCATTTTGTGACGGAGAAAAGCTTCACAACTCTGAGCACTTCCAGGAAAAAATCCTATTTAAGAAACAGATATTCAGCAAGTATTGTTGAAAAGGGTTGCTCATACAACATTCATTGGATGCAGGATTGAATAATATGGCATGGCTCTTTCCAAGGATGACAATGTACGAAAGACAAAGTAACCACAAAACCTAGAGGCAACTTTCAGACAAAAGTTCCAAATGGAGAAAAGAGAGGTACACTTTTCTTATCCCCTTTTGACACATAATGAAGCATCAGAGGCATTTATTTATTTATTTTAGAAAGTCTTCATTAGTTTTTTCACATATAGAGAGAACTTTAAGAAAGTTACTTTCTGAAATTCAGTATTATATTTGTTGAACTTTTATAAATAAAATGAAATGTTCCAATATCTCAGGGGTTGCCACAAAGAAGCACCTGAGGGCAAGACAAGAAGCAACGGATGGAAACTAACCAAAGAAGAGAAGCAACCTAGAACTAAGGAGAAATTTCCTGACAGTTATAACAATTAATCAGTGGAACAACCTGCCTCCAGACGTTGTGAATGCTCCAACACTGGAAGTTTTTAAGAAGAGACTGGATAACCATTTGTCTGAAATGGTATAGGGTTTCCTGCCTGAGCAGGGGGTTGGACTAGATGATCTCCAAGGTCCCTTCCAACATTATTATTATTGTATAAGATTTCCATATTTTTTCTAAATTATTGCTATTATATTACACATAGTCCTTGACCTATGACCACAATTGGGACCAGAATTTCAATTGCTATGCAAGACAACTTGTTAAGTGAGTCATGCCCAATTTTATGACTTTTGGGGCATGATTGTTAAGTGAATCACACAATTATTAAGAGAATCTAATCCTAATCTGACTTTACTACAGATAGTCCTTGATTTTTGCCCATTCATTTAGTGACTGAAGTTACAAAGACACTGAAAAAAGAGATTTAAAACCAGTTCTCGCTCTTACAATTGTTACAGCATCCCCGTGGTCTTATGACTAAAATTTGGACACTTGGCACCAGAATATGTTTACAAAGTTGCAGTATCCTGGGGACACATGATTGCCCTTTGCAATTTTTCCAGGGGTCTTCTGACAAGCAAAGTCAATGGGAGACCCCTGGAAAAATTGCAAAGGGCAATCATGTGTCCCCGGGATACTGCAACTTTGTAAACATATTCTGGTGCCAAGTTCCAAATTTTGATCATAAGACCACAGGGATGCTGTAACAATTGTAAGAGCGAGAACTGGTCTTAAATCTCTTTTTTCAGTGTCTTTGTAACTTCAGACACTAAATGAATGGTTATAAATCAAGCACCATCTGTAGTAAAGTCAGATTAGGATTACAATTAAGTTAAAAATTAAAAAAAAACAGCTGTCATTGTTCTTTAAGAGGCAATCAACTATACAGAGTCATTTAGAGAGAGAGGGATGTTTACCTTTAGCGAGACGCTCCAACCGCTTCCCATGCTCTGGAGGAATAGAGTACCTATGGTAGCACGTAAACAAATTACAAATATATTCACACAAAAAAGATATTTTAGGCTTATATTACATAACAATGCTGATATATAAGCACATTTAATCATTTCCCATCTTCATCATTATTTCTACACTGAGAAAATGTTAAATATGACCCTCAATTAAAAATGTATGCACATCTTGATATATACACACCCGTACACACACACACACACACACACTGACACAGGATATCTCACCAGGACTTGGGTTCTCCAAAATGCAGATAATTTATACTGTACAGGTCCATGTCCTCCGTGTGCCAGGCAAAGGATGTTTTCCACATCCCAAAGTAGAGATAAGGCGTATTCACTCCCTCAATGGTAATACCACTTTCATTTTCTACTATATCCAGAATTGTATTCAGATGACCAATATTCCACTCAGCTATATGCTAAAAAGATTAAACACAGTTTTTTCAAAAAAAGCAGTAAGCTAATAACATATATTCCAATATCTGTATAAAAAATTCACTTTGAGGGTACTCAAATAATTTTATGAATATTGTAGATTAATTTTGTCTCATATATTCTATCTATGTACACATTACATATACATATTTCAATTTTCAGGGGTCAATCTAGGAAATTCAATAACATTAATGCTGAAAATGTAGGTGAATCTTGAATCCATGCGAAAAACAAGTTAACACCAGCTAACAGATACCGAAGCTATTATATCTCATTACTCCTTTTACCTTGTCATAGAGTGTGCCATTAACATCTGCCCCATAGATGGGAGCATTGAAAGTGAGATTCTTCCAGTACTTGCGTTCAAGATCTTCAAAATCTGTATATCGAGGAGTAAAGTACCTAAGGGAACACAGGTTGACTGTCTTAATATAACTTGTCCATTCACTTTATTCACTGACAAATGTCATGAGTTATCACCAATTTTAAATAACACATTACTGTAGACAAGCATCCTGGAAATCAGAATTTAAGAAGATAGTCATGTACAAAGATCCTAGATGAAAGAGCCAGAGTCAACTTCTCTATCATTTAAAATTTGTACTACAATTAACTAAGATTTCAGCCGAATCATGCTCAAAGGCTGAAACTGTTCACATATAAAGATGCTGTAACTTTTACCAATATTATTGCATTCTCTTGGTTTTGGTTAAGGTGGACAGCAGAAATAGGTGTCACATCAGCCATATCTTACAGAATCTTCTGACAGAAATGCATTTAAGAAACTAGGTTTTGATCTAGAAACTACCACACAAATATGGAGCTTGTCAGAGATGACCCATTCAAATATTTGCTATTGAAATAGTGTAGTCCATTCATAAGAAATTTTTTTGGAGCTGTTAAGAGTAAGACACAGAAGCAAGTATTCTCAAGAAATTATATTCCAATTTGAAATACACTTATGCCAGATACTGGCAGGGACGTTGCTAAATTAAGATGCTTTTAGATTTGGACCATTACAAACTTATATTACCTATATAAATACATATATTTAGAGTTTTCAAGTTTAGACCATCTTTTCTTACTTGTCGCTATTTGCTATCCTCCTGAATTCTCGGACTGTCATAGGTTTCTTCTGGATGTTATACTGAGTGAAGAGGCCTGACTGGCCAGTAACCACTTGCTGAATGGGAGCAGGGATGACCAGATCATCAATATCATCATACCATGTGCGTGGCTTCCATTCCTTAGGAGGAACAATCTAGAAAATGTAATTTTTATATGAGTAATTAACTGGAAAACTACAAAAATAGAACAAAGGTTATATAATAATACTTCAAATAGACTGATTTTTCAACTATACACAGTAGCAGGATTATCCTTCAGCAGCATATAGTAGTAATCCACATGCAACGCTATTAATGCTCTTGACTACAAGTTGGCATTTTATAAAATTTTATAAAATTAAGCACATGGTAAATTAATATTCATAATCAAGAAATCTGTTTCAAATCATAACCATGTATTTGGCTCAGTGATTAGAGGTATATATGCCAAAATGACTCCTGATTTACTGAAGATTCCAAATTAATAAACACAAAGGAAAATGCCTACTTAAATGGTACATGATCTTTCTGTTGCAAACAATAAGGATGTGCAAATCCTTTGAAAGCAATGTCTCACAATGTCAGTGTAGGTGTTTTCTTATATCTTTGAAACAAGAAAGCACCCAAGGCAGGCTTTGCTTACTGGCTACACATATACATGCTGCTTATTGAAAAACATGCAGCTGCTTTATTGATTCAACAGAGATGCCTTGCATATGCTACTTCATGTTGTGAAGCCCAACTTTCAACAGATTGGCACAGACCTAAGGAACAATATTACTGCAGTTTTCTTTTTAGAATTCTGTATATCCAAAGTAATAAATCAGTTTGTTTAGGAATTAATCATCATGATAGTGCATACCATAGAAATAAAAGTTGTAAAATAGTTATATGGGTCTCCCAGAAACATTTAGGTTTCATTTCAAATCCTATATCAAACCTTCAAATGATTCTGTCTGCAGCCATCTTTACTTTGTTTTCAGTTGCCACAGCCATGGAGGAAGATGTGTTCTTTTAGTTTAGCCATAACAAATACTTTCTTGTGGGAACCAAGGTCAAGCTGCCTAAGTTTTGGCAGGCTGGAGATACTGTTAGAAAGCCCACCAAAGTAGTTAATTGGGGTAGGAAGTTCAACTTTTACTTTGTAACCTTTGGGGAGTGGGTGGGAACTTTCAGTCTTGGGTTCACCTTTGTTCATGCCGATACTATGTAGCCATTAAAAGTATTCTTTGACGAAGCAATTGCCTCAAGAGTTCTTATTTCTACTGGTCTCATCAATCGGAACCATGACATCCTATGTCAAATAGTTAAAATAATGTGCAACAAAAGAAAAATCTAGAACTTCAGAATTTTCATTAAATGTTTGATTTTTTTCCCCAGCAAAAATGAGTACTATTTCCTCATCAATGGGATCCAATAAAATCTTGCCATGAAACAACTTGCTCATTTGTATGCTGAGATTACCCATCAAATACGTTATATATTTCTGAATCAAATTTATATGGATGAATAAATTGCAGCATTTATTGTTCCCAGCCCTTCTTACCTTTGCCAGTCCAGCTCTATGGGCTCCTTGAGACTCTATATAGGCAACATAACGGCTGAAATTTTTAAATTCTTCCATAGTTGGACGGAATGTCATTATTCTGGCACTTGGATTTAGGTTCTCCAATTCGGACCCCATGTTTTTTTTTCACACTCTTTCTTCTCATATGTGAACCAGGAGAACTAGTGCACTAATACAAATAATTATAACAATTACAACTTAATCAGTATTATCCAGAGTTATTAAGCGTACAATAAAAAATGAGGAATAGCATCAAAGTATGTTCACTGCTATCCTAATTAAAACTATATCAAACCCAACCCATCTCAATTTTTATTGTAATTATTTTACACCTTTATACTCCTAAATATCAATTTCACATTCAGATTTACAGAAGAAGCCAGGTAAAGTACATGTACCAATTTTATTATTTGATAAAAATGCCTCAACCTTAAATAACAGAAATAATTTGAAACTAGTTACAGAACAAGCAGTCTCAATAGCTGTTGACAAATCAAAACCCGCCAATGTAAACTTCTCTTGATAAAAAGTTCTGTCTTAGATTGTGATACCACTTTCCCTCTTCTTGGAGGTTTGCTTTATACTAAAGAGGGCAGCACCCTTCGGATCTTGTTTTCCATAGAGAAAAGCAAGTTCCTACTCTGACACCTGTTTAACACAATAAATATCCCAGATAACTATCCTGTTATAAATATCCAAACCTGGTCCTGAATCTTCTCCCACAGCCAACTAAGGCTACAGGTATTTGTTTCTGAAAAAAATGCTTCTCCAAAATATCTATATCCTTGCCTTGCTTACTAGGCCCTCAAGAGAAATGGAGAAAAGAAAGGTGACAGATAAAACTAAAATTAATGTAGGTCGTGTTTATTGAAATAGAGGAGCTAAGGGGGAATAGAACTTATAGTTACTTTTTAAATATTGAAACTCTTTTCAAAGCTTTAAAAAAAAAACCTGAAAGGAAGAAAAAGGTTATCGGGATTTCCCAAAAATTCTTCATAATTTTTTCTTCCTATTTTTTTTACTTTCAATTTATCCACTTCTACACATCTCAAGTCATCAGCCTGATGTTAAAAGCAGCTGTATTTGTTTTACCTAGGGCTCAGAGCCCCCAACATTTAGAGGCTTTTCCAAATTCTTCATTTTATTTCCCTACCTTCATTCAATTTCTTTCTTTCCTTTGTCATTTTCTTTGCAAAGCACTGATGCTGGATCAAAAAAATGTGTTATCTAAGAACGGCCTTTGTGCTAAATGGAAAGGAGAGGATCCTGTTTCGTCTCAAAATTTCAAAACTGTTCCTCGAAGTTCTTCTGCCTATTGCAGTGGTGGCGAACCTATGGCATGGGTGCCAGAGGCAGCACTCAGTGCCCTCTCTGTGGGCACGCGTGCCATCACCCCAGTCCTAGGCCTTTAGCTGGGTTTTATAAAACCTTTTCGCTTTAGGCCACCACCGTGTGCAAAAAGAAAAAGGTCCAATCAGTCAATTTCAACTTCTCGCGGGGAAAAAAGATCTTGCAAAGTTGGAATTGATTGAACTTTTTAGTCCCACCCAGTCTGCCGTTACCACCGCAGCCACACCCAGCCAATGGGCCACACCCAGCCACACCCACCTGGCGATGCATAAGTGGGTTTTGGGTTGCAGTTTGGGCACTCGGTCTCTAAGCGGTTCGCCATCACTGGCCTATTGTGATCCTAGCCCTCCTAATTACTATTATTATTATTACTGCTACTATTACTATAGACGGATTGCCCGGAGTGAGCTCCAAGGGACAACAGCTGATTCTGGCATCCCTTGCTCCCCTGTGGCTGTGTTTGTGCGGGGAAGAAGCACGGAGGAAGCGCCCCAGATGGTCCTCCTCTCGGAAAGAGCCCAGGAGGCCCGCGTTGACATAGCAACTTTCGAGCCTTTAATGTTTCGTAGGATGGAAGGACGCTGAAATAGGGAGAGCATCCACCATTCACCTCGGGTTTCCATCCTTTCCCCAGTTTCAAGAAAGTCCACCCTCCCCTCCGTTTTCGGTTCTCCACAGCGTGATCCAGGTCGACCGAGGAACCCCGCCCGGACGAGGCTCTCCTTCCTCCCTGTGTATAACTCTCCCAGTCCACTCCAGGACTAACTCTTCCCCGCGGTCCCCCTTTACCACATTTTCACTCACCAAAGGCCTCTCAGGAGCCACCTCCACTTTCTGACAGGGCCCGAAATAGAGTTCTGTATTAGCCTGGGGCCAATGCTGTCTTGTGTCCCGCCCCTCACGTCACGTTCTTGACGTTTTCTGCCTCGATCCAATCCCCAAGAGTTTCCGCACCCGTTTTATCGTCTCATGGGTTATGTGAAGTGCCAATCACGCCCCTTTCATTCGTTTCGTAAGCGTCGCGACGGCAGATCGAATTAGGACTCCCCGCTGCGAAAGTAGTTCCGTAGCGATTTACGGATTGAGCGCGACGCGGTTACGCCACTATGCGTTGAACAGATGTAGACAGATCCCTGCGCTGGAGTCCCTTAGTCTTCTGTTTCTCTCGACCTCTTACCCCTTTACCCCTTTATTCTATCTAATTCGTCGTTCCCTTTCCCTCCGTATCCCAAGTTTCACGTAATTATTGCTCAGATCCTGTCATTAAGAAGGGCCTGAATTGGCCAACCAATCAGTGAGAAAGGATCTATGTTACTAGGCGGATATTGTTTTGATTAGATTTAGAAGAGGCGATAGAAAAAGCTAGCGAGGAGAAGCTGCTGATGCTGAGGAGGCTATTATCTAACCATTGTGAATGTACTGCCAGTATCATGTAGGATTGGTGGAGAACGGTTACGTTTGTTACTGTTTTTTCCCCTCTCCGCTTTTATTTTGAATGCTAAACAAATGTGACACTAGATTCCTTATCTCCTGCGGCGGAAAATGGCTGATAAGCCCCCTATAAATATTGAGTTGACGCCTTTTGAAATTTTGCAGGACTTTTGCAGCTCAAGGCGGATCAGATTCAGGTGAAATACCGTAAGATGGTTGGAAATTTTTGATCAAAGAGGGTAATGGAGGCAGTGAGGTAATGCTGTATCGAGAGAGGACGTTTGTGGTTCGCTAACTCTAGATATCTAGTCTTTGAGGCAAAATAACCAGCACTTTTTGCGATTATTTTTTTTTTTTTGCGATTTTCTTTCAAGCGCCAAGTAACTTTTATTGGCATTTCCATTCTTTTACCAGCTTTTTACCCCGTCTTTACAAAGTTTACTGGTACTCTGATAAATTTATTATGGACTATGATGAAAATATGGATTATACACCTGAAAAATTAAATAAATCATAAAACTGATTAATAGTAAATCCAGAGAGGACCTCTGTACTTTCAAAATTTGAATGGCACTAGGTTGCTGAAACATTTTTATGCTTATGTAAAATCAATAGGGTGCATCTAGCAGTCCTAAAATATACCATATTTGCTCATATCTACAAACATTTGCATAGGCTGTTTGTTTTTGCCTTATCCACAGGCAGCCTTCTCTATGGGATATGATGTAAGATATTGCTTAGAAATACAACACACTGCAGTGTAAATCCTGGTTTACAAGTAATGAGATAGGATTTGTCAGATATATTTCTCTTACCCTGAGAGTGCTTATGATTCAGTCATGGCAACATTCAGTATATATTGACTTAAAAGGAAGTCCTGTTAGGCTCAAATATATATTCTCAATCATAAATTAACATGGCAACTGATACTTTGGCAGCACAAATTTGTTTGGAATTTCTGCCTTGATTGTAGGATACAGCTTGTTTGATCAGCTTGGAAAAATACAGTATTGGTGTAGAACTGAAAACAACTGAATGCCAATTGTGAATCTAAGATTCTGAATTTAATACTAAAAGAGGCTAACATACTTTTGGCCTGTGCCTTAGTATGTGATATAGAAAAAAATCTAAAATTCATAATTTTCAGTTGTTATATTTAATTAGTTCAATACTTAAGTTTCTAATTTAAAAGCTGGTAGGCGGCATCAAAGTAACCATTATCTATTACAAGCTTCAACATAATTGTAAAACAGGGATTCATGTAATTATGTTTTTTTCTGGTGGAAGTCCTACATTATTCTCATATTCAAAATAACTGGATATTTGGTTCAATAGATATATTTCAACTCCTACATACTGTCAGAAGTAAGTCTTCATCCTGGTTCATCCAAGCTTTGGGAAGAAGGTTACAGTTTATTGAAGAAGCAGAAAGATGGTCCTTGCAAGAAAGAGCAGAGGAGAGGAAAGAGAGATTGAGCACATGGGCAGTAGGTTTTTTATACCCTCTCTAGCCTTGTTTGGAATAGTTTCCTGTTTCTGTGGCATGAACCTTGAGGCTGTTTCTGAGTGTTTGTCTAGGCCTTGATATCTGTGGTTTAATCCTATTATATCCTTCTTCCCAGGTGATGGGGCTAATGACTCCTAGAGTTTGGGTGGAGTATGCAGATTTTTCCTTTGTCTTGATTGCTCTGGCTTCAACTCTCTGATGGTTTTACATCTACATTTGTATGGGGCTAAAGTCTTGCTTGGGGCAGAGGTTTGATTTTAAAAAAGTCCTTTTGAGGAAAAATATATTTTTCTGCCCTTTTTAATATTTCCTTCTCTGGGCTAACTTCCCTCAATATACACATGTGGGATAATTTGACTTTGGAATGATGCTTGGAAGGAGGAAAAGGAAAAAAGATGAGAAGGCAGCACTCAGTTCCCTAAGTTGATTTGCAATTAATAGTCAGATGGAAGACCTATGAGTAATACCAGGTTTGTATGCTATAAACCATTTTCATATTATTGACATGAAAACATGGTTGTCTCTATGATTTTACAAAGAGTGGAACTCAAAAAAGACACAAATACTGTTATTACTGCTGTAAATACTGCTGGAAGTCCTTTCTTGATTTGATGATCTATAAATACAAATAAATATGATAAGGTAGAAAGCATTACTTGTTTTTTTTACAACTAGAGGAGTTCAAGTTCAATGTGAAGCACAATCTGTTGAATCATATTTATTTACAGGAGTGTTACATCATAGTTCACTGCCTCAATATGTCATTGCTGAAATTAAACTATCCAGAAAAGGCTGCCAGCACCAATAGTACAGGCAGTCCTTATTTAGCAACCACAATTATGACCAGCAAGTTGGTCATTAGACAAAGTGGTTGCTAAACGAAACTGCCATTGTTCTTATGATCTTCAGAGCTTTACAGACTTGCAAAGGTCATAAATATAAGGACTGATCACAAATTTATTTTTTCATCACCATTATAACTGCAAACAATCACTACACAAGTCATTTACTAAATAGAGACTACCTACATATTATAAACCCTTTGAAAACAGGGATTTATGTACACATTTAAAAATGTTTATCCTGAGCCACTGGTGTAATTTGATATGGAAATCAAATGTATGTTTATAACTGTATATTCCAATAAGCAGATATATGGCTAGTATCCCAGGCCAAAGGTGCAGGACCTTCTGAGCAAAATTCCTCTTTCGGGACATAATGCAAAATATGGTCTAATTGAATCTTTCTAGAGCAAATCCAGAAGAAAATGGATTTTTTTTTCTTCAGCAACTGATAAGAAATCTAGGTTATTTTCAAGATTTCCTAATGCTCAGGAGTGTGGTACCTCAGAAAAAAGATGGCAATAAAATATTGTGAGATGGTCTCCAAAGACTTCTAGAGATATGGGCTAAAAAAGTTTTGTGATATTGAAAGAGCAAGCTGATGACTGAGAACTAGCTGGGAGGGAAATGCCGTTTCCATTTTCATAGGTTACCAGGCATATTGTTTCATTTTCAAAGTCCTGGAGAAACTTTTAATATTGTACAAGATGACACGAATCATTTTTTAGAGTGATAAATGGTCTAGCAAAGAAAGTATGTGATGCTGGTGACACTTATTGTTACCATGGCTATAGAGTTTGCTTATTTAAAAAAACAGTGAGAGAGCAGCAGTAGACAGTTGTTGGAAGGAACCAGAATTATCCCTGCACTCAAAAACTATTACAAGAAGGCTGAGTGAAAGAAACTCTCCCTTTAGGGAACTCATAAATGAAAATAAGTGAAAGAAAAAAGTATGATCCTTCTTTGATTTGGTTTCCTCTATAAACCTTTCCATCTGGAGCAGACTTAATAGATTGCAATTTAAATTTACAATAATGCTTTCTTGATTGAAATAATCACACACTTCAGCAATACCAAATAAATTTAAAATGTTTATATTTGGGGTATGTTTTTCTCTTAAGGCAATATTATATGGGCCGTAGCTCTCTTATTTCTCTTTTTATCTGATGCATTTTTCAGATTTCCCTCATCTGAATTTTAACTCTGAACAAACTAGTTTGTAACGGCTGTGGGGTTCTGTGGTAATTTTGATAGTGAGAAGAAAAGCTTTGGTTCCTATTGGCTGAACTGACAGGCCTTATTATGGCTGTAATTATGCCATCTGCTAAAGAAAATGATCAGCCATGTCTTTGGTTTCACCAGATGAGGTAAATGTTTTTCACAGGAAAAAAGTGATGAGTGAAAAAAGCTTGATGGAAAGAGGACCCAGGAGGTAGAAAAGCTGAAAGGCAAATGCTGAAATACAGGGAAGCTGATGAAAGGTAATATTGAAGCTGATGGAAGAGGAGATAGCGACAGCCTTGACAAATGAGAACATTTGTTACCAATTCCTTGCCTGTCTTTCAAAGAAGGGAGGGGAGGCAAGATTAAGGAAAGGAATGGCAGTGCAAAAAGAATCATCGTGCAAGTGTTTTACATGCGGAAGAAGTCAAACGCTCAAGTGGTGAATAAGGCCCTTGGGAAATGCATGATAAAGAAGACTTGAGAAAGGTAATAGCCAAACATGTGCTTTCTGATTTTTTAGCTTATAAAATAAGATTAATCTTTATCCTTAAAGGGGCAGGGAGGATGCACATCCACTATTTCTGTCCATTCCACTGCTTAGAAAGCTGTAAAGTAATGCAATACTACAAAGATATTAGTTTGCAATAAAAATTGTAAGAAATATTAAAAACAAAACCTTGATATGATCTTATCTGGTTTGAAAGCAGTACTCAGACATGAGTGAGAGAGCAGCCTTTCCAAAATTAGGACCATTTAGATGTATTGGTCTTTCGCATAAGATTGGGAGACTCCAGAATAGAACATACAACAGACTTCAGGCATCTCTGATGACGTGAAATAGAAACAGGATGGGGATCAGCAATGGAGACAGCAGACCTACACTGATACAGATTTCTGCCTCTTCAAGATGGGTGAACAGTGCTTTTAACTCAGCAATACTG